AGAACTTAAACACACAGGATCCTTACAATTAATTATAGTGACAGGTTTTTAAAATCTGCTGCAATGTTTCATATTCAAACAAGATTTAGTCTATTGTCTCCACCCCCTTCTGTTGCCCCTGCCACCTCCCAGGGGTGGAGCTGTTTCGTCTGGTCCTTAGGAACAAAGACTCCTCGCTCCACCTGCTCCCCACACACCCGGACGTCACTGTACTGCAGCCACGCTCCTCGGCCTCTTCAGACGCAGACTGCATTATTAATGTGGAGGAAACACTTCCAGGCCAGGCTCGCATCTGGCTCTTTTAAAATATTAATCTAGCAAACAGGGCCACATCGCTCAAACGTCACGTCCCCATCAAAGTACAGAAAAGCTGCGTCGAAATCATATTCTCCTCTGCGTCTTTTAACTGCATTAAATCACCAGTCAGGAAGGAGTTCATACCTTCTGTGAATAACTGTTTTGTAGTCAAGATTAAGAAAAACTCCTACATAACGTAGATGTTTTATGTATTAAACCTAATTTAATTATTAAAGCTACTGTTAGTAAAACACCTTTTATTGATTTCAGGACATTCACCTCAGAATTTAACATTTTCCAGACTTGGAAAAGGAAGAATGAGGTAAAGAGAATGGATGGATGGTTGAAGCTTACTTGATAACTGTGCCTTTGGCTCCCCCTGCTGTGGTAAGCATCACTCTTGTTGTGAGGCTGACGCGCAGGTCGTCCTGGTCCAGGCCCAACAAATCCGCACAATACTCAAGAGTCTGGTTTGACTGATTCTTTAAGACACAACCACCTGAAACCAAAAACGGCTACGTGAATCTTTAAACCAGAAATACACCGGCTAAAAACAAGCAGGTGTTTTATTTGTGCGTACAAAACCCTCTGCAAACCGAGGGCACTGAAAGACGCAGCAATAGTCGGTCAAGGTTGAAAAGTGCCTCTAAATGTGAGTCTGACGTCGTCTTACTGTCTCCAGAGACCTTGATTATAGACAAAGTACAAAAACAGAATAACCAAGAAAAGTAAAGCGAGCAAGAGCTCGTCGTTGCCAGGAAACAAGTTTTATCAGTCGCCTCTCGAGACTAAACTAAGGCAAAACTCAAGGACGCAGCTCTGTTCCTCACAGTGACAAATCTTGTAAATATTTTACAACTGAAAATTCTCCAGAAATTTACGTGTGTGTGTAATTTTCAATGTTACACACGTAAAACTTGCTGTAATCAAAATAGGGTAGGGTCAGATTGATCTTTAAAGTTGATCAGATATTTGTAATTATAGCTTCTGCCTCACCCGAGGAGCTCCCCGTCTCTTCAAAGTCAATGTTGCCCAGATGCAGAACTCCAGCAACGACTCTGAAAAGGTCCAGTTTCTCCGTGTCATTCAGACCGATCTTCTTCATGGCCACGCACATCCTGTTGAAGTCTCCCTGGTCGTCCAGGAGGGGGTCCTTCAGAGCGCCCTCTTTGAGATGCTGCAGAACACCGGAGAGGATTAGAAACTTCAAAGAGACAATGTTTAATAATTCAGCTCAAATCAAATAATTTACTCGAACATCAAATTTCTTCTGTTTAATTGTGTTGATGCAATGAGTACATTTATTTTGACGTAAACTGAACCACAACTGTAAAAGCCACCAGATGTAGATCCTGAAAAAGCAAATCCTTTAACAGTCAACCCTCCACCAGCAGCACACGAAAAGCTCACCCCTTGGTAGGAAACACTGCTCAAGAGTTTTATTTATAAATGTCTTCATGAATATAGTTTCATGACAGAATAATTTAGAAATATGGAGAAATAAGCGTGCAAAAATATGAAGTGTGAACTGACTCTGTATAAGACAAATGAGACAAAATCAAAGATTAAATATGTGCTAATAATTAATTACATTAGGTTTATCCTCTGAGGTACTGCCTTGAAAGAAACAGAACTACAGTAGTGAATCGCTACTTCGCGGTTCGTTTTTTGCGGACTCGCTCTATCGCTGTTTTTCAAAATAAGATTGGACATACACAATTGGCTGATTGATGGATGAGCCGCACTATCGGCATGGGATTTTTATTTAAAATAAATTATTTTAAATTACTTAGCACCTGCTGCACCTGTGTGCGGCCCACAGCTGCAGAAGAAGCTTCCTTGTGCAGCATGTCATATCTTCACTCTGCAGCGGAGAAGTGGGCGTGGCCAAGAGCGCTGGCAGATGGCAGAGTGCAGCCGGAGGCAGAGAGCTGAGATCATGACATGCTGTGCTGTTTTAGAGCACTTAGAGTTTCGAAAATTGTTGGGGACATTGCAAGTGTGAAGGGTTTAAAACACCTTACGTGTATATAAATACTAAAATAAACTACTACTACTTGTGCACATAATTTTGTTCCATCTCATGTACCAAATAAGATGGTAATGACAATAAAGATTACTTGAACTTGGACTACTGTATTCCTACTACGCTGTTTTTTTTACTTATCGCGGGTGGGCGTGGTCCCAAACCCCCGCCATAAATGAGGGACTACTGTATATTTTTTGTTGTTTTAAGCTTTTTTTTTATAGAGAATTCCAACTAAACCTTATTTAACTATTTTGATGACGCAGCCCTGCTTTGAACGACTGATAGCAGCTGAACAATCCAGTACTTTAAATACCCAAACGTGGCATGCAAAAGCAGAAAAAGAGAAACTGCACACTCATTTCCTGTTTGTCTTACAAACAGGAGCTCATACAAAGTCTAGCATTTAGTTTAGGAGAAGAAGAAAAAACAGATTGGGAAGCATAAAACCTAGAAGGGAAGAGAAATGTCACCTTATTGTCCTGTACAAAAACACAAATGTAGAAAAACAGATGGTTAGCAGTACAATAGTTTCACAGAATTTTACTTACAATTTCACTTACACCTGTTTCACTTGACTTTTCTGAGTCTGAGTTTGATAAAAGAAAAATAATTTTAAACTATTGTTGCTAAATATCCTATTGTCTTGGTAGGGGTGATTTGTTTGTAATTTAGTGCATCTGAATCACTGTCAACACAAAATACACCGTTTCATTTTAGCTCTTAATATATAATATAGGGAAACAAACTATATACATATGAGATTTATATGGAGGTCCAAAGTAAAAATACCCAGGTACAGGGTTGGATATGAATAAATAAACCACTACAGAGGAGATTACCTTAGAACTCTTGCGGCTCTGCAGTATTTGTTCATCAGACTCTTTACTGGCAAAGTATCTGGTGCATCCTCGGTTCAGGTACTGAAAGAGAACAATAAAAACCTGAGAAACATAAAACATATTCACAATTTTTCTATTTATAACTCCCTCTTTGTAGCAAATCTACAATTGAAAGATTTATTCTACTGTTGTCCAGTTGTGCTCCGCAGACGAGTTGACAAATTGCATTAAACGGCTTCTATTAATGTGAGTGACGCCTCAAGGGTTCTGTTTGCTGTGTTGTAAAACCTAGAAGAAAATAAAGCTTTGGGTTGAGAAGTTTAAGCTGATTTGGTCTATGTGGAGTTGATAATTGAAGGCAAAAGACACCTAAACCTAATTTCAGTCCATGAGAGTTTATATTTTGTGTAGAAAAGTCTGTGAAAATATTGGGGCTCCACTGGACGCCAACCAACAGTGCTTACAAAATGTCAAACTATCTACAAGCAAGGTCAGAAAATATCTAAATTACATTTTCTGTTTGCACAAAAAGAAGACAACCTAAGGTTCAGATTTCAGTTTTACTTAAATCAAAAATCTTAAAATTAAAACTTAGGGTAACGAGTCACTTCATCCTTGTCCCTGTAGGAACCAAGTATACATATACCCAGTACATATCAGCTAGAATCCTTATAGGTACCTGCAACATACCAGTTAAGTACCAGGTAAGTGTAGGGTATCAGATCCCGTCATAACACAGCCAGGTCCCAGTACTTACCAGATACAAACCAGGTAGGTACAAGGCTGTGCTATCCATTGCAAATGTTATTTGCAATAGATTCAAAATCTATTTGAATTCATTTTAAAACCCATCTGTATGTTTATAAATCTCTGAACAGTTCTGTCCCCTCCTATCTCAATGATCTGCTGCAGCCATATGTCCCACAGCGTTCTCTGAGGTCAGCAGACCAGATGTTTTTATTGGGTCCAGGAACTTGTTTCAAGCTCAGAGGTGACAGGACCTTCTCTGTTACAGGTCCAAGACTGTGGAATGAGTTACCACTGCATGTCAGGCAGGCTCCCTCTCTCAATGTTTTTAGTCTTGTTTAAAAACTCACTTTTATTCCCTGGCTTTAGACACTGTCAGTTGATTTTAACTTGTCTGTATTACATAATGTTAACCATTTAGTTCTTATCTTTACCTACTTAGATCTATGTATTTTATCCTGTGTCCTTTGCTTGTTTATTTTTGCTGTACAGCACTTTTTTATTGACCTTTTTGCAGTTTTTAAGTGCTTTATAAATAAAGTGGTATGGTACGGTATTGCTATGAATGTATCTTCACATCACTGTAAAATGTGTCCTTTTCTTTAGAAACAATACCACTGTAGACTCGGATATCTGTGTTCAGACACTGACCCTAAAGTTATCTGGAGAGTCCAGGTGTAATTTTTTCTTCAGGTCCTCAGATGCACCAGCACACAGCCTGTAGAAGATGTGGTAGTTCCTCTCATCGTTGCTCTGCATGCAAATCCTTGACTTTTCCAACAAATAGTGGGAGACAAAGCCTCCTACGACAGCATTCTGCTGGCACACAAAATACATTTAGTCCTTAACGCAAAGGCACATTTATGGAACAAACTTGAACAAAATTCGTACTTTTTCATTAAAGTGGATTTCTACAAACTTCCCAAATCGACTGCTGTTATTGTTACGGACGGTTTTCGCATTTCCGAAGGCCTCGAGGAGGGGGTTTGCTGAGGAATAAAATGGAAAACGTGCACTCATAATCAGACCATCTTAAACAAACGTGTCACGTGTGTTAATGTATTACCTTCTACAATCCTCTCATCGATATCTTGACCACTTCCATAGGTTGTTGTCAGATATCTGCCGGACGATGGTGAGAAAATAAACAAGACTGAGCCAGAAGAGTTTTCACTTGCAAAGCAGCTATGCTTATTTGATATTCAGTGGCAGTAGCAATAAAGAAGTACCTGCCATAAAGACAAGTATTGTGATGTTGAACTTTAACCTCCTACAAAGATACTTTTGTTACTTTATAGGCCACCTACAGTACAAACTTTGTCTTTGCCTGTATTTTAATTGACTACTTTCTGCATGTCATGTGACCTTTGATTATGTTTCACTAAATTGAGTAAAAATGTGCTTTGAACAAATTAATCTAGAATGTCTGAATGAGGAAAAAATCCTGAAGAGATTAAATGTTTTTTTTGTTTTAGACTAAAATCTTCACAGCTTCAGTGACAAGTAAAGGTTTTGCTAATCTAATCTGAATTGAGTAATTTAAATCAGGAAGAACAGAAATACAGAGTAAAGAGTGTTATACCTGAGGACAAATTTGGTATTTTCAGTCTTTCCAGCACCAGATTCACCAGAGACTATGATGGATTGACTAATCTTTAAAACCTTCATGTCCCTGTAGGCTTTATCCGCTAAAACAAACAAAAAAATAAACATAATTTTTGTAGAAAACAAAGGTAATATTCACAAATCAATGTATGCAACAAATGAAGCATTAGCTTTTAGTAAAAAAGACCTTTAGGAATTGCTTTGTTAACCATCTGTGCTACTTGTATGCACACATTTGTGCTGTCCTTTGCTGAGCAGGAAGTTCGAATGCTGTTGCTAACGGTAACCGTCACATTGTAGCTCGGTCCAGAAAAGCTGCTCTCACCTATAGCGTAGACGTGGGGTGGCAGAGTGCCCAGTGACTTTCCGTGGTATGACTTGATGGCCTCAGGGCTGTACAGTTTAGGTATATCGTAGTACGGATTAACAGCTATCAGGATATTAGCCACATAAGTCTGCAAGAGAATAAAGAGAAGCAGGATTAGGGTCACAGCTATTGAATTATTTATATTTTGATAAAAAAAAACAAAAGTAAAAAGGACGACTGAAGGCTGGTGGGATCCACCTAAGCTTGTTTTCATGTCTTGCATTTTTTTAATCTAACCAGCTGTTTCTAATTTCCTAAATGGAGGGATTGAGGCAAAGATTAGCTGTGAGTCTGACTCTAATCTCGCTGCTCTTCCCTCTTTATCAGCTGGATCTTATTCTCCAGGGAATCAAGGTCAGGCATTGTTTCTTTCTGATCTACAACCTGCTATGCGGTCTAATGGGACAGTAGTATATTTAACTCATACAACAAGGGCGTCCCTGTGTATAGGATGTATATTTGCACAAAGGTTTTTATTGTAAACTTATTTAAAAAACTTACGTAAATGAGGTCCTTGTTGTATCTCACTTTGACATTGTTGAGAAGAGTGGCTTCATTTAGGTACATAAGCGAGCCTGGAAACAAAAAGCAAAAAAACATAAAAGTTAAAATCTTAACAGAATAACTCAAAATGTTTGTATTTTACATAAAAATAACTTACAGTTGTCATCTACATATTTGTTGACATCATCCTCAGCTGGGAAGACGTGGTTCATTGGAGCAAGAAAAGTCTGCAACATGAATTAATCTCATTGTAACATCTACATGGTGTCGCTTACAAAATAGTCAGACGTGCTGCAAAACGATTTAATCTCCTTTTAATCTGTGCTACAATTTATGTACAAGTTATTTAATGTTTATTTATAATTTTTAGGAAAGCTTATAAAACAGAGCGTGTGTTAATTATGAATTATGTACACAGAGAAATGTATTAAACATCAGAAACCGCTGAGCGGATCTGCATAAACATGAGATATTTATGGAGCCTAAAGATTACAGAGATGACGTGACATGTTCGTAGGCTGAGGTAGTTACTGTTGCTCTCACTCTTTTGTATAAAAGTCTGAGTTCATGGAAATAAACTCAATGGAACAGGTCGGCTGTGAGAGAAACAAGGAGAGACATGGCAGCGTGATGAATAATTTGGTGAGGGAGCAACAGGATCTGAACACCTGAGTTAGTGTGTGTTCGGGATGAAGGTGGAGCTCTGAGGTCATAGAACCAAACTGTGTCACGTTTTTATTGAAGGCAAACCTCACTTTCTAAATTTAAACTGCCTGACTAACGTATTAATAGTGACACCTACAGCAAGGGAATCGTGTTATTCCTGCAGTATGTTTTAGTTCAATAAACAATTTTATCCTCCATTATATTTAATGTTCAGAACACATTTCCTGCTGCATAATAATAAGACAGTGTGAACATGATCCACTGCACAGCGATGCATGATTTATGACCACAGACAGCCGATGGTCATAAAACAGAGTGAGCTTTGTGTGGCTGCAGCATCTTGGCACTACATGTTGATCCACGGTAACAACCATGTGGAAAAATGCCTAACCAATGAAAGTGACTGAAAAAGTGGCAGCCGAACTGAGGAGTGCACTCACAGCTGACGCACTAATGAGCCTCAGCTCTGCGCAGAGAAAATTGACTTCAATGGGTCTTTCATGAATCTACTAAATAGTTTAGGTAATGACAATCATTAAAAGTTCACAGCTATTGAGAGAAAAGTACATTTCCATTTATCTTAGAGCTCATTACCAGCACTTTTAGACAATAACTAAAGTTAATTCACACAAGCGCAAAGACTGCTTAGGACTAATAGCAGATAATTTACCTGAGAATCAATGTGAGATGTAGCACATGCTTTTGTTGTTTTTTCTGTTTGTCAGTACTGCAGATGGGTACATCCCTGCATAAATCCATACTCATTATGTATGTGTTGTACAGTAGGTATCACTTTCACTATCCTCAGTGATCTTGAACAAAAACTAATTTCTGCAGCATGTTTTCATCCACATCCTTGTCTTGAATGTCAGCTGTTGCAGGGTATGTCACATTCAAAGACACATATTAATTTGTCATCATGGGGAACACAGCTGACTTGACAGTTGTCCAAAAGACAACCATTGCCACTTAGCACAAGGAGGGCAAGACACTAAATTGCTAAAGAGTCTGGTTGTTCACAGAGCTCTGTGTCCAAGCACATTAAGAGAGAGGTGAAGGGAAGAAAACAATGTGGTAGAAAAAAGTGTACAAGCAATAGGGATAACCTGGAGAGGATTGTGAAACAATACTAATTTCAAAATGTGGGGGAGATTTACAAAGAGTGGACTGCAGCTGGAGTCAGTGCTTCATGAACCACCAC